GTATGTCCTGTACACAAAAAGCAGGACAAATCCAACCTGACCAATTACCGACCCATCAGTCTCCTCTCGATCATCAGTAAAGTGATGGAAGGGGTCAGTAACAGTGCCATCGAGCAGCACCTGCTCAGCAATATCCTGCTCAGTGACACCCAGTTTGGGTTCCGCCAGGGCCACCCAGCTCTTGAACTCATTACAGCCTCGGTTCAAACATGGACAAAAGAGCTGAATTCCAGAGGTGAGGTGAGAGTGACAGCCCTTGACATCAAGGCTGTATTCAATGGAGTGTGGCATCAAGGAGCCCTGGCAAAACTGGAATCAATGGGTATCAGGGGGCAAACTCTCCAGTGGTTGGAGTCGTACCTGACACACAGGAAGATAGTCGTGGTTGTAGGAGGTCAATCATCTCAGCTCCAGGACATCTCTGCAGGAGTTCCTCAGGGTAGTGTCCTAGGCCCAACCATCTTCAGCTGCTTCATCAATGACCTTCCCTCCATCATAAGGTCAGAAGTGGGGACGTTCGCTGATGATTGCACAATGTCCAGCACCATTCACAACTCCTCAGATACTGAAGCAGTCCATGTTCAAATGCAACAAGATCTGGACAATATCCAGGCTTGGGCTGACAAGTGACAAGTAACATTCATGCCACACAAATGCCAGGCAGTGACCATCACCAATAAGAGACAATCTAACCACTGCCCCTTGACATTCAATGGTGTTACCATCACTGAATCCCCCACTATCAACATCCTGGGGGTTACCATTGACCAGAAACTCAACTGGACTCACCACATTAACACAGGGGGCTACAAGAGCAGGTCAGAAGCTAGAAATACTGCAGCGAGTATCTCCCCTCCTGACTCCTCCAAAGCCTGTCCCACCATCTACAAGGCACAGGGCAGGAGTGTGAAGGAATACTCCCCACTTGCTCCTGGATGGGGGCAGCCCCAACAACACTCAAGAAGCTCAACACCATCCAGGACAAAGCAGCACCCCCTTGATTGGCACCACATCCACAAACATCCCACTCCCTCCACCCACCGACGCTCAGTAACAGCAGTGTGTACCATCTACAAGATGCACTGCAGAAATTCACCAAAGATCCTCAGACAGCACCTTCCAAACCCACGACCCACTTCCATCCAGAAGGACAAGGGGCAGCAGATACATGGGAACACCACCCCCCTGCAAGTTCCCCTCCGAGCCACTCCTCATCCTGACTGGGAAATAGATTGCCGTTTCTTCGCTGTCGCTGGGTCAAAATCCTGGAATTCCCTCCCTAAGGGGCATTGTGGGTCAACCCACAGCAGGTGGATTGCAGTGGTTCAAGAAGGCAGCTCACCCCCACCTTCTCAAGGGCAACTAGGGATGGGCAAGAAATGCTGGCCAGTCAGCGATGCCCACATCCCACAAATGAATAAACAAATAAATCCACAGAGGCAGGAGCAGGCAGAAACAATGGGTGTACCCTACATTCCCATCTATGGATTTTGTGAGAGAGGTAGAACGGGACTGAGTGGTTTGGGGGGATTATGAGTTGGGAAACTGTTGGATGGGGAAGGGCAGATCCCCAGAGGAGATGAGGTCAGTGACAGTCAGAGAGTCATAGAGCTGTACAGCATGGAAATATGCTGACCAGATATCCTAAATTGATCTAGCCCTATTTGCCAGCACAGGACCCACATCCCTCAAAATCATTCCTCTTCATATACCCATCCAGATGCCTTTTAAATGTTGTAATTGTACCAGCCTCCACCACTCCCTCTGGCAGCTCATTCCATACACGCACCATCCTCTATGTGAAAAAGTTGCCCCTTTAGGTCCCTTTTAAATCTTTCCCCTCTCACCTTAAACCTATGTCGTCTAGTTTTGGACTCAGCTACCCTGGGGAAAAAGACCTTGACTATTCACCCTATCCATGCCCCTCATGATTTTATAAACCTCTATAAGGTCATCCCTCAGCCTCTGACACTCCAGGGAAAATAGCCCCAGTCTATTCAGCCTCTCCCTATAGCTCAAACTCTCCAACCCCGGCCAACATCCTTGTAAATCTTTTCTGAACCCTTTAAGGTCTCACAACATATAGCAGGGAGACCAGAACGAAATGCAGTATTTCAGAAATGGCTGAACCAATGTCTTGGACAGTCCAACAGCCTGATGTTCAGTGCTGGGGGTCATCGCTCAGCAGGAGATGGGAGGCAGATTCTGCAGGTTGGCATTAAGCCTCTATCAGGTAGAACCAGGCAACACCAGCACCCTTCCCAGCAGGTTTTATTTTCTTTGAAATATCTGAAATGTGAAGCTTAACCACCAGAGTCTCAAGGTTTGCACGTGGCTCCTTGGTCAGTTCCTGTTTTGTTAGAGATGAGACTGTGAAGAGTGGGAGGGCATTTGTGAAATCATATCACAATGTGGCACCCGAGTTCAACCTCTAACTGACTAAACAGCTGAGCGGTGAACAACAACAACCTCTCTCCTTCTATAGCGACTTTATAGTGGGATTAACAGCTTCCCAGAAACACTATCTGGCTCTGAGCCACTCATACTGATGTTCAGATGGACACTGAAGGCTGGTCAGGGAGTTCAGCTTTGAACAGCAACTTATAGCAGGAGGGAGAGGTGTATTAAAGTTGGAATTCCAAAGCTTTGCCCCCTGAGCAGCTGACGGTCTCACGCCCTACACCCCTCCCTATCTCTGTAACCTCCTCCAGCCCCTACACCTCCTCCCTATCTATGTAACACGCTCCAGCCCCTACACCCCCTCCCTATCTATGTAACACCCTCCAGCCCCTACACCCCCTCCCTATCTATGTAACACCATCCAGCCCCTATACCCCCTCCCTATCTATGTAATAGCCTCCAGCCCCTACACCCCCCCCTATTTATGTTACTCTCTCCAGCCCCTACACCCCCTCCCTATCTATGTAACATCCTACACCCCCTTCCTATCTATGTAACTCCCTCCAGCCCCTACAACGCAGAGATCTCCAATCCCAGCCTCTCAAACCTCCCTTGATTCCCCTCAGTCCACCAGTGGCGGCCATGCCTTCAGCTGTCCAAGGTCCCAGTCTCTGGAATTCCCTCCGTAAACCTCTCTGCCTCTCTCTCTCTCACATCCTTTAAAAAGCTCCCTAACAAGCTCCTCACCTGTCCAAGCCTCAAAACTGATGAGAAAATACTCCCAAGGAGTGGCTGAGGGATGCTCGAAGTGATGGCACTATGCCAATGCAAGTCAAGCTGGACCCTGCAAGAACAGGGTAATGCAGAGTTATGGGCACAGTCGTTAGGAAGGGAGGTGAGGGCTTCAGAGAGTGAGCAGGAAACTATGGCGTGAATGGTTCCATGAACAAGGAAGTTGTGAGACGTGGACAGACAGGAAAGGAGATGGGGGGGGTCATTGACCCAGGGGAAGAGGGGAGATTTGATCGAGGGGTTCAGGATCAGGAGAAGTCTGGATCGAATCGATTGGGGTAGGTAGAAACTGCTCCCATCAGCACCCAGGCGAGGAAGGGTTGGGGAACTGAGGGCTCCAGGTTAAAGCTAACGGTGGAAGCAGGAGGAAGGGAATTGATTGGTTTGTGCTGCTTGAGAGTGCTGGATTCAAGCAAGGCTTTCAGAAAGGAATCAGCTGGTTACTAAGGGCAGGTGATGGCCTTATTGCTCACTTATTGATCTGCAAACCCAAGTAATGTTCAGGGGACCTGAGTTTGAATCCTGCAGGTGTTGAAATTTAAATTCAATTTTTAAAGAAAAGTCTAATTAAGAGTCTAATGCTGACCGTGAAACTGTCGTCAACTATCAAAAGACCCAACTGCTTCACTAATTTCCTTTAGGGGAAGGAAACTGCCGTCCTCACCTGGTCTGGGCCTAAACGTGACTCCAGACCCACAGCAATGTGGTTGACTCTTAACTACCCTCTGGTCAATTAGGGATGGGCAATAAATGCTGAGCCTGGTCAGAGATACCCACATCCTGTGAGGGAGGTTGTTTAAACAATCTGGAAAGGAAGGGCTACAGGGTATGTGGGGGGGGTCACTAAGCAGAGATGGTGGCTCTGAATGCCAGCAGGGACGCAACAGGGTGAATGGCCTGCGCAGCCATGCCTGTGAAGCTGTGCCTGTACTCCTGTGATTCAGAGGCGGGCAGTGCCACACGTGAGTTGAGGCTTTGCTAAGCATTCCCTGAGCTGCTACAGTTGACTCAGCCTCTGCTCTGTGTGTGTGTGTGTGTGTGTGTGTCATTCTGTTAGGATGACTGCATAAGTTTTTTTTTAACAAGATGGAGCTGAGAGAAATAGGCCTGAAAGGGATTTGCTAACAGAAACTGACCAGGGGCTCTTCCTGATCGACCTCCCTCCCCAGTCCCACTTCCTTGCGGAGAGACAGAAAGGACGGGAGAGGTGACAGAGAGGTCCCAGTTGTGGAATGTACAGCAAAGGGCTGAGGGATTCCCTGCAGGAACCCCCAACCATATATGGGCAGATGCGTCAGCCGCTGGGGAAATTGCAACACTTTGCGATTCACAGACAGGAAGCCCCTGCTTGTCGAAGGCGAAAATCGATTTCATTGGAATTATCCCTTATAAATCTCAATTATTTTTAAGTCATTTTAAGATTATAAGAGATCAGGGGAGGCTAAAGGTACCTTTTGTAGCTGCATTTTGCTAAATGAAATGAGGGGCTCATTCATTCATTCGTTGGATTTGAAGCTGGGAAGAAGGGTGGGGGGGATCTCTCTCTCCTTTGGGGAGAACTCTCCCCATCACAAGAGATTTTGTTTGTGGTTCAATGCTGGGTGAACAGTTTGGCTGGAGTTTCTGTTCCTCTACCCCAACACACACCCTCCACCAACACCACCACCCCAATTCCCCACCCCCCCTCAGGCCCGGGCGAGGTGCCCCATTCATGAGCTATCGGCGGGAGGAGACTTATGAGTGTGAGTCACCGTGCTCAGAGATTTGAACTAACCCTGACACACACACACACACACACACACATACAGAGACAGACACACAGAGACAACTCTCTCTCTCTCTCACGTTGGCAGCATGTTCCCAGGAGGTTACAGAGGTACTGGCTCCTACTCTGCAGGTCACCACAGAGTGACACAGGTGAGGAGGAGAGGGGCTGGTTGGCTTCTTATGGGAGCGGGTGGGAGGAGGTGGGTCAGGGATCACGGACCCAGTGCCAGCAGATCCAGCGCCCGTGACATCTGGTGATCAGTGAGCGTTTGTATTTGTGTCATGGCGGTGGGGAGGGGTCTGTGTGTGTGTGTGTGTGTGTGTTTGTGTGTGTCTCACACAACCCAGAGCCGGCGTGTGACCTGGGATCCTCTGTGCATGTTTTGTGTGTTGAGGGCTGCCTGTGATCCAATCGCTGTGCGTGCCCTGGGATCCGGTCTGTGTGTGTGTGTGTGTGTGTTGGGGTGGGAGGGGGAGGGTGACCCAGTCTCTCTGTGTGACCCAGGATCCAGTCAGTGCGTGTGACCTGGGATCCGGTCTGTGTGTGTGTGTGTGTGTGTGTGTGTGACCTGGGATCTAGTCTGTGTGTAAGGAGGAGAGCTCTGTGACCCAGTCTGTGTGCGTGTTGGCGGGGGGGAGTGGGAGGGTGACCCAGTCTCTCTGTGTGACCCGGGATCCAGTCAGTGCGTGTGACCTGGGATCCGGTCTGTGTGTGTGTGTGTGACCTGGGATCTAGTCTGTGTGTAAGGAGGAGAGCTCTGTGACCCAGTCTGTGTGCGTGTGTGTGAGCGTGTTGGGTGGGGTGACCCAGTCTCTCTGTGTGACCTGGGATCCAGTCTGTGTGTGTGACCTGGGATCCAGTCTGTGTGTGTGTGTGGAGGGGGGGGCGCTGTGACCCACTCTCTCTGTGTGACCTGGGATCCAGTCTGTGTGTGTGTGTGTGTGTGGGGGGAGATCGCTGTGATCCAGTCACTGTGCATGACCTTTGGATCCAGTCAGTGCGGGAGAGGGAAAGGATCCGCGATCCAGCCTGCATCTTCTTCTCAAGTCCTGTACATGCTCTGCGATCCAGCTTAAAAAGACGTACGCGCGTGATTTTGATTCCAATCCGCCTGTGAGATCTGCGATACGGTCCGTGTGACCTGGAATCGAGTCTGTGTGTGAGATCTATGTGCGCACGCGAGCAAGGGTCCAGGCCCCCTCGGTATGCATGTGATCTGTGATCCATAACTGAGTGACGGTGACCCACTGTGCCTGTGCAGCTGCCAACCAACATGGGTGTGTGATGGATGATCCAGTCTGTGTAGGTGATCTGGGATCCAGTCTGTGCACTTGACTCTGTAATCTGTATGTGTGTGTGTGGGGGGGGGGGGGGGACCAACTCCACGTGTGACAGTGATCCACAGTGTAGAGAGAGAGAGTGAGAGCAAGAGAAAGAGAGACAGATCTGGGATCCAGTCTGTTGGTGTTGACTTGAGACTAGCATAGGTGTGAATGTGATCCACTGTGTGTGAGCCACTGGGATCCAACCAGTTTCTGTGGACATGGCAATCAATCTACATTGGACCATGATCCACTGTGTGGGTAATCTGGGCTCCAGTCTACCCATGTGGATCCAAGATCCAGTTTCTGTGTGACTGTGATCTACTGCATGCAGGTGATCTGAGTCCAGTCTCTGTGTGGCCATGATCCGCTGTGTGTGTGTGTGTGTGTGTGTGATTGGAACCCAGTCTCTGTATGACCATGATCCACAATGTGTATATGTGATCTGGGATCCATCCTCTATGACCATGATCCATGGTGTGCATGTGTGATCCGGGATCCAGTCCCTGTGTGACTGTGATCCACATGTGTGTGTGATCTGGCTCCAGTCTCTGTGCGACTGTGATCCATTGCGAGTGTGTGATCTGGGTGCAGCCTCTTTGTGCAGGCCTGGAATTCAGTCTACATACTTGCCTGTGATCCACTGCATGTGTAAGAAGCAAAGGTCTGGGATCCAGTCTCTGTGTGACCACAATCCACTGTGCATGTGTGATCTGGGATCCGGTCTCTGCGTGGCTGTGGGGATACAGTCCGTGTGACCACAATCCACTGTGTGCACGTGTGATTTATGGGATCCAGTCCCTATAGGACCATGATCTATTGTGTGTAAATGAGATCTGGGATCCAGTCTGTGTGTGACTGTGATCCACTGTGTGTAAGTGTAGTCTGGCATCTAGTCTGTGTGACCATCCACCGTGTGACCTGGAATCCAGTCTCTGCGTGACTACGATCCGCTGTGTGTGTGTGTGTGTGTGTGTGTGTGTGTCTGTCTGTCTGTCTGTCTGTTTGATCTGGGATCCAGTCTGTGTGTGACCTGAGAACATGATTCGACACTGGTGAACCTAGTGCCTACCCGGTGTGATCTGTTAACACGCGCCTCCTGTCTCAGAGGTTTCTGTTGCCTCCAGCCTCTTGTCTGTTCATCTTATGTCTCTGACTCCAATTCGCCTGCAGGGTCATGGGGCAGGGGTCAGACCATTTTGAGTCTCTCCATTTTTGTCTGGCAGAGGGAGGAGGTTTGTCTGAAAGGCCAAGACTAACCCATTGTCCTAGAGCAGAGGGGTGAGCTGTGACAAACCAAGAGAGAGAGAGAGAGAGAGAGAACAGCAACCCAAGACTGGACAGAGTGAGAGGGACAGGCAGAGAGAAACGAGAAGACAGAAGTGGAGTGAAAGCTGGAGTCTGTGGGTGCAGAAAGAGTAGGTGGGGAGGGGGCGGAAGTGAGATATCGACACACAGAAATTAACGGCCACAGAAATTGTCAGAAATAGAGAGTGAGAGTGATCACAATGTTCAGTCTCAGAAAGGAAGCCAGTTCGATAGAAACTGAGGGAGCAGGACCAAGAGGGAAGTCATAAACTGGAGGAGACAGATTACAGCAAGTAAAGTGAGACAGTGTGAGAGAAAGGGGACAGAGAGAGAGAGAGACAGAGAGGAAGACAAGGAGAGAGAGAGAATGAGAGGCAGGAAGAGAGAAGGGACAGGAAGAGAGAGAGGACAGAGAGAGCAGGATAGGGAGAGAGAAGAGACAGGGGGAGAGAGGACAGAGATAGAAAGAAGGGGAGAGAGGGGGTACAGGGAGAGAGAAGGGACAGGGGGAGAGAAGGGGCAGACAGACAGAGCAGAGAGAGAGAGGCGACAGGGAGAGAGAGGGGGCAGACACAGAGAAGGGGCAGGGAGAGAGAGCAGGGGGGTGCAGAGAGAGAGAGAGGTGACAGGGAGAGAGAGGGGGCAGACACAGAGAAGGGGCAAAGAGAGAGAACAGGGGTATGCAGAAAGAAAGGGGGGCAGGGAGAGAGGGGTTGCAGAGAGAGAAGAGCAGAACAGGGAGGGGGGGGGAAGTGAAAGAGGGAGAGAGAGAGGGACTGGGCACAGAGCATGGGACAGAGTCATAGAGTTGTACAGCACGGAAACAGACCCTTCGGTCCAACTTGTCTATGCCGAACAGATATCCTAAATTAATCCATCTCCTACCGACTAACCTCATCCCGCCCCGTTGACCTGTCCGTCCTCCCTGGACTGACCTATCCCCTCCCTAACTCCCCACCTACACTCACCTTTACTGGCCCCATCCCCGCCTCTTCGACCTGTTTGTTTCCTCTCCACCTATCCTCTCTTCTATCCATCTTCTATCCGCCTCCCCCTCTCTCCCTATTTATTTCAGAACCCCCTTCCCCTCCCCCTTTTCTGATGAAGGGTCTAGGCCCGAAACGTCAGCCTTTCTGCTTCTGTGATGCTGCTTGGCCTGCTGTGTTCATCCAGCCCTGCACCTTGTTGTCTCGGATTCTCCAGCATCTGCAGTTCCTACTATCTCCTAAATTAATCTAGTCCCATTTGCCAGCATTTGGCCCATATCCCTCTTAACCCTTCCTATTCATATACCCAACCTCTTACATGTTGTGAGAGAGAGAGGGAACTGGGAAAGAGGAAATGGACAGAGAGAGAGAGACAAAGAGGGATTGAGAACAAGTGAGAGACTGAGGAAGAAGGAGAGACAGAGAATGAAAAAGACAGAAAGAGGGATAAAGAGACATAGAGAGACAGAGAGAGAGAGAACAGCGGTTAGCATTGCTCTCTCTCAGCGCCACTGGGTTCAATTCCAGCCTCAGGTGACTGTCTGTGTGGCATTTGCACGTTCTCCCCGTGTCTGCATGGGTTTCCTCCAGGTGCTCCAATTTCCCCCTGCAGTCCAGGGATGTGCAGGTTAGGGTGGACTGGCTGTGCTAAATTGCCCCGTAGTGTCCGAGGATATGCAGGTTAGGTGGGTGAGCCGTGGAAAATGCAAGGTTACAGGATTAGGGTAGGTGGGATGGCTCTGGGTGGGATGATCTTCGGAGGGTTGGTGGGCCGAATGGCCTGCTTCCACACTGTAGGGATTCTATGGGGTGGAGGGGCGACAGAGAAAGAGTCAGACACACAGGAAGAGGAGGGAGAGAGACGGGAGGGCAGAGAGAGTTTGACATTCAACAACAGCAGGATCTGAGAGAAACAGAGTTGAATGTGAGGCAAAAACATTTCTCACACAGTGTCTTTGGAACTCTCTTCCTGAAAAGGCAGTACAGACAGGGGCCTCGAATATTTTGAAAAGTGAGGATGATAGGCTTTCTGTCTTTTTCTGTCTTTTTCATTCTCTGTCTCTCCTTCTTCCTCAGTCTCTCACTTGTTCTCAATCCCTCTTTGTCTCTCTCTCTCTCTGTCCATTTCCTCTTTCCCAGTTCCCTCTCTCTCTCACAACATGTAAGAGGTTGGGTATATGAATAGGAAGGGTTAAGAGGGATATGGGCCAAATGCTGGCAAATGGGACTAGATTAATTTAGGAGATAGTAGGAACTGCAGATATGTTCAGGATGGGGTGTAGATGGGGATGTGGAGTAATTGGATCATCCATGACCTAACTGATTGGTTAGACAGTCTCGAAGCGACCTACCCCTGTTCAAAACAGAGATAACAAGGTGTAGAGCTGGATGAACACAGCAGGCCAAGCAGCATCAGAGGAGCAGGAAGGCTGATGTGAAGGGTCTAGGCCCGAAACGTCTGCCTTCCTGCTCCTCTGATGCTGTTTGGCCTACTGTGTTCATCCAGCTCTACACCTTGTTATCTCAGATTCTCCAGCATCTGCAGTTCCTACTATCCCTGTTCCAAACGAAACAGCTTATGAATGTGGTCAGGTACAAACACTGGCTGTTCCAATGGTCATTCACAATCATCTCAGGGACAGTACACAGGCAGAGTTTACAGTGGAGGAGACTCCCACGGACTATCTGACAGCATGTCGATGGACCATAGGTCAACTGCATCCCCCGCCCCCGCAATCAAAGAGGATTTGAAACTGCCTCTGTGTTTTCATTATATTTCTGTCCTTTGCCTCAGCGTCTCTTGGGTGAAGTTTCAGTTATGGCTCAGTGAGTCTCTCTCTCTCTTACTTACTCTCTCCCACCTGTCAGTCAGGAAACCCCACTCCAGACACTCCAGCACATTAAAGCATGCCCCAACACACCCAGAGTCAGTGCTGAGGGAGAACCGCACTGTCGGAGGGTCAGTACTGAGGGAGTGCCACACTGTCGGAGGGTCAGTGCTGAGGGAGCGCCGCACTGTCGGAGGGTCAGTGCTGAGGAAGCGCTGCACTGTCGGAGGGTCAGTACTGAGGGAGTGCCATGGAGGGTCAGTGCTGAGGAAGTGGGCACTGTTGGAGGGTCAGTGCTGAGGGAGTGCCACGGAGGGTCAGTGCTGAGGGAACGGGCACTGTCGGAGGGTCAGTGCTGAGGGAGTGGTCACTGTCGGAGG